TAAATAAAAAGTGAAATAACTGCTCAGTGAGAGTTACAACTCCAGTTGTAAAAATAACAAAAATATTTTGGCCTAAAATAAACATTCAAAAATATTTTCCCAATTAAAATTTTTATATATTTCTCCAATTTCTGCTATTATTAAGAATAAAAAGTGCAATTACACTTTCTTAAACAAAGAGCAATTCAATAAATCAGCTTTGACAGGAACCTTACTACTATAAAAGAAAGCAAACATAATATATATGATACTAAGATTCACGATTCAGATTCTTCAACAAAAGTGCATTTGCAGTAAATCAGTTAGCATTATTTCACTAGCGTCCTAATATGTGTAATTTTTTATGTTGCCCCAGCTTGCGGTGGTTGTTCGTGTTCATTTGAAGTATCATCCTGAAATAATATCAATCATTTGATAAATGTCAGCTAGCTGATCCAATCACATAAACACTACCAATATGGTCACAGAACTTACAGGAGTTGATAACTGTTCCCTTATCAAGTAAAGTGACTTTACGATTGTTCCCAATGTGCCCTTCGATATTTGAAATTTTACTTCAGTTTCTTCTGATATAGACCGAGTATCATCTTGAAGCTGCAAATTACCATAAGCTCATAATTATGCTTCTTCCTGATGTTAAATATGATATCACATCAAATAAGCTCGAAGACAACCATAAATTAAATTAGTATTTTGTCACATTGTCAAGCCTTTCAAGCGTTAATCTTTCAAGATATGAATAAGCAGAGAAAATTTTGCTCCACTCCTACTTCTGTTTCTTCCACTCAGTCTATTACAGGAAACGAAGAGGTGCAGTACAATAAACATAAAAAGTATGCTTCTTGATGTTATGCATGATAATTTTAAAAGCAGATATCAAAGCATTAAAATTCAGTGTGGTGAAAAAAAAAAAAATCTTCTAGCATTTTCAACCACCTCAAGCAGTAATGTTTCATGATTTGTAGAGAAGAACAGGAAAATCCTGCTCCACTTTTATTTCCATGACTTAAAATGTCTAATGCTGTGTAATAATTACTCGAGGATACACATACACACAATTCTTATATATTTATATATTCACACACCAAAACTTGATTTTCACTTCTGTAACAGCAAAATCCTTAACATCATATAAAAATACCATTAATAACTTTCTAAAGTAAATGCACCTTTTTATGTATATGATATGATGTAATTATGACTCTAAAAGATTATGTAAGTAAATATTAAAATTTAAAGTTAGGCATACAAATACAGAAAAACTGTATAGTATGTATGCAAATCCCGCCCTCTGTATTTGAATATACCTCGTTCAAATGTTATGGCGTTGAGCTCCATAAGCTGAGGTTAAAAAACTTACGGCCTCTTTGAGATCACTTGTATTATTTTTAAATTTCCCTTTTCATTTAATTTTGTTTCTATTTTAATATGAAATAAAATATCTTTATTTAGTTATTTATGTGGTGGTAATGGCAATGGCCAACAATAATTAATATT